GACGAGGTGACCAAATAAGGGAATAGACCTTGGGGCTAGCTTCAGGAATGTAAGCCAAAGGTTTTTTAGCAAGGCATAGGGAATGGAGGAGAAGGACAAAGCCTGTCGGAGCCATGCCTGCACACTCTAGCTGACCAGAGTACCCTCTTCAGCATGGTCATTGTGTACAGTGCCCTACCACCGCCATGGTCACATCTGTTCCTCCCCTGCCCTCATCCTGCCTGCGTTCTTACAAGTACTTCCTGTTTTCCAGTAGGACACCTGTCTGTTTTCCCCTCTTATGAGTTGTGCTTCTCAGGCTGTGGAATTGGCTCAGTTGGTAAAACAGTAGCACAACGATCAAGGTCAGTCCGCAGAACTCCCATGAAAAATGCCACAATGGCTTGTGCTTGTATTCAGGCCCTGATGAGGCAGAAACAGGCAAATCCCCGTGGCTAGTCATCCTAACCTAATGGGCAAGTTTCAAGCCAAGGAGAGACCCTGTCTTTATTTTTATTATTTTATGTGTATGGGTGTTTTTGCCTGAGTGACCGTGTCACATGAACACAGTGCCTGTGTGGGCCAGAAGAGGGCATCGGATCCCTGGGAACCCGTGTTACAGTTATCATGTGGATGCTGAGAATTGAACCCAGGTCCTCCACAAGAGCAGCAAGTGCTCTTAACTGCTGAGCCATCTCTCCAACCCCTTAACTCATTTTAAATTTTATTATATCTATTGAGTTTTGTTTTTTGAGACAGGGTTTCTCTGTATAGCTCTGGCTGTTCTGGAACTCCATAGACCAGGTTGACCTTGAACTCAGAGATCTGCCTGCCAATGCCTCCCGGATGTTGGGATTAAAGGTGTGGGCCACAGCCTCCAAGGTGGTGCACACCTTTAATCCTAGCACTCGGGTGGCAGAGGCAGGTGGATCTCTGTGAGTTGGAGGCCAGCCTGGTCTACAGGGCTAGTTGTAGGACAGTCAGGCTGTTATGCAGAGGCAGAGAAACCCTTACTCAAAAAACAAAATAGCCTGATCTACAAGAGCTAGTTCCAGGACAGCCACAGAGAAACTCTGTCTTGAAAAAAAACAAAACAAAAAGATAGCTGCATTACCAAAGCCCACCCCAGCATGAGTGGGCTCACAAAACTGAGAACCTGGATGGAGCACACTGCACAGCCCGCAAACAGCTCAACAGATTAGAGAGTGGCCTTTCCTGGTCCCTCAGATGGTCTAAACCTCTACCAGGCAGCTTGGTCTGGTTTCAGAGTCTTCATAATTTAGCTTTCTGAGAGTCTTCTGTGCAGCTGTTTTTTTTCATCCCCCGAGCGACTTTCAACTTTTATTGCTTACTCTAGCAGGGAGGGACTCACGAATCTGGTCAGTTTCAGGGACTTCCTGAAGCTATTTTGAATTGTTTACCTTCTACTTGAAGAGCTTCCCTACAGGATGGAATGTTTCAAACTCAGAGGAAACTGTTACACAGTATCACCAAAGACTGTAAGCCTGCAACACTGTAGGGAGGTGGAGGAGTTTTTAGAAGGTGGCGCCTAGAAGAAGAAGGTGGTTAGTCACTAGCCTTGTGTCCCTGAAAGGATGTTGGACTCACCCTCTCTGCTTTCCTGCCTTCTGATAAGAGCTTCTCCTCCAGTGATCTCAACATGATAGATACACTGTGCAGCCACAGGGCCCAGGGACTATGACTAAAACCTCTGAAGCCATGAACTGGAACAAGCCTTTCCCCCTCTGGGCTGCATAAATCAGGGGTTGTGATGGTGCATACCATAATCTCAGCTCTTGGGAGACTGAGGCAGGAGTTTGCTGTGTTTCTCACAACAAATGAGTGAACTACTGAGTGAGACCATTTTAAGGAAAAAAACTGAAATAAGGGCTGAAACAATGACTCAGTGGAACTTGGTTTGATCCCCAGACTCCATAAGGAGGCTCACAACCCATGTAACTTTTTTTTTTTTTTGGTTTTTTGAGACAGGGTTTCTCTGTGGCTTTGGAGCCTGTCCTGGAAGTAGCTCTGTAGACCAGGCTGGTCTCGAACTCACAGAGATACGCCTGCCTCTGCCTCCCAAGTGCTGGGATTAAAGGCATGTGCCACCACTGCCCAGCCCCATGTAACTTTAGTTCCAGGGGATTTGATGCCCTCTTGTAGACTCCATAGTTACTGTGTACACACGATGGACAGACATATATGCAGACAAAATACCATATACATTAAATAAATTACCTCAGGCTACATGTATAAAATGTGTATAAAATAAAATTCTTATTTAGAGTCCTGTAAGATTCCTCATATGTATATATAAATGCCTATGAATTTAAAAAAAAATCTGACACCGTGCTCGCTTCGGCAGCACATATACTAAAATTGGAACGATACAGAGAAGATTAGCATGGCCCCTGCACAAGGATGACATGCAAATTCGTGAAGCGTTCCATATTTTTAAAGTCTTTTTCAAAAAAAAAATCTGACACAGGGTTGGACGAATGACTCAGTGGTTGAGAGTACTTGTTGCTTTTGTAGGGAACCTGGGTTCAGTCCCTAGGTGACTCATGACATCCCTAACTCCAGTTACAAGGGTCTGATGCACTCTTCTGACCTCAGAGGGCAGGAGACAATTATATGGTGCACATACATACATGTAGACAAAGCACAAAACAAAAGCTTCATAAAATACAAAACAATAAAATCTGGTATACTTCTGGTCTAGGTATTTCAGATAAGGTATCCTTAATCCATTCTGAGTTTCTTTTTTGGTTGCTTGGTTTGGGGCTCCATTGTATGTGTATTTGAGGCAAGGATTTACTCTGTAGCCCAGGCTGGCCTGCAACTATGTAGCACTTCAAACAATCCTTCTGCCTCAGACTTCCAAGTGCTTGCTAGCTAGGATTACTGGTGCAAACCAGGAACTCCTGGTGTATGCTGTACAGCATTCTTTACCCCTGACCGTTTTTCCTGGTCCTTGCTCTAATCTCAGCTGCTATCTGCTACCTGAGCTGGTAGGTAGTGAAGCGATGAGTGGTTCTGGCAGGCCTTGCTCTTCTCCCCAGTTTCCTCTTCCTTGCTAAAAACTAGCCCCCAAGGTCTATTCCCTTATTTGACCACTTCCTACTCCTGCGGCTGACTAACAACATCCAGCTACCAAAGTATTGAAGTCCAGCAATCAAAAGCTCCCTTTGGCTCAACATACCCAATTAAAATTAAACACCTCATCCTAACACAGGGTTTTCCTTTTTACCTTTATCAACCCCATTTCCTATGTGCCATGTCTGTCTCCTCTCTATCCAGAAGCAGTCCTTTGTCCCTCTGGGACAAATACCCACTTCCCCTTTCCCTCATCCTCCCCCTTCCCTCTTCTTCTCTATTTCCTTTACCAGCACATCCTAGCCCCTTCTAACAGAGACCTCACCTTTTCACCTTTAATCCCAGGCCTCAGGAGGCAGATCTGGGCAGGCAGATCTCTGTGAGCTCATGACCAGCCTGGTCTACAGAGTGAGTTCCAGGACTGGCTCCATAGCTACTGGGAAACCCTGTCTTAAAAGAAAAAAAAAAAAAACCCAAACCAAAACAAACAAAAAATTACACCTGCAATGTCATTTACTGCTGTTTTTCTGCCTGGGTCAGAAAGCATACACTTTTATTTATTTCTTTATTTATTTATTTATTTATTTATTTATTTATTTATTTTGAGGCACGGCTTCTCTGTGTGGCCTTGGCTGTCCTGCAACTCACTCTGTAGACCAGGCTGGCCTCAGATTCACAGAGATTTGCCTGCCTCTGCCTTGTGAGTGCTGGGATTAAAGGTGTGCACCACCACTTTTCTCCTGCAGTTTAATAAAGAGTCTCTGTGAAAACAGGTGTTTGTGTGTGGTTTCCTTCTAATCTGGGGTCCCAGAGGAAGCCCCAGGTGTGTGTGTGTGTGTGTGTGTGTGTGTGTGTGTGTGTGTGTGTGTGTTGTGAGGTCTCCTTCAGGTAGACTGAATTTCAGAGTGCTTGTTTGTAGGTAGAGGTTCTGGTCTCATGACCTCCGCTTTCTGAGCTCACCACCCACTATGGGATTCTCTATAAGGGATGTGTGTTATGGTCTCTAGAAAAGAGCTTCCCAAAGAGTCAAGTACACTTCCTTCTTGCTGAGTCTCAGCCTCTCATGAGTCTTATCAGCTTTTCCACAGCCTCCAGTGTATCAGAAACATGTTTAAGCCGTTGTTTGCTGCTGGGTGTGGTGGCACACCTCTTTAACCCCAGCACACATAGTGGGATTCTTCCCTTAAAAATGAATTATTGTAGTACTGGAGTTTGAACACAGGAAGTCTTGCATTAGACAATTGTTCTAACACTCAGCCGCGTCTCAGCCCCTTTGCTGCCACATATATATGCACACACGTATATATGCCACACACCACACACATACACACGTTATTTATGTGTGCTGTTGTGAGGTCCCAGTGCACCTTTCTTTGGTTCGTTTTTGTTTTCCGAAATAGGGTTTCTCTTTGTGTCTCTGGCTGTCCTGGGACTCGCCTCGACCAGGCTCGCTTCGAACTCAGATCAAACTGTCTCTGCCTCCCGAGTACTGGGATTAAAGGCGTATGCCACCACTGCCCCTTTCCCAATGCATTTTTTTAAAATGCTGGGTCCAAATAAATGCCTTTATTCCACGCAGGAGAAAATCAGACCCTAACGGAGGCATGAATGGAAAACAAAACAAACTGAACCACTCCGGCGAATGCGGGAAAGCAGGACCCAAGGTTTCAAGAAACTACTTTAAGACCCTGGGTCAAAAAAATAAATAAATAAATAAAATTAAAAATTAAAAAAAAAAAAAGCAAAGCATAAACCCCGAGTCTGTCCATCTCTCCCCAGTCCAAGCGCCACATGTTCTCTGGAAGCACACAGCGCCACCCAAAGAGCACGGTGCCTGCCCACGGTCAACGGGCCACCCGGACCACTGGGGCAGGGCAAGGTGGGGTGCGCACGCGCAGCTCGGCTTTATGTATGGCTTTATTGCGTCACCGTGACCCTAGAGCGCGCGGCTGGATCACAAGCACGCTCGCGCCCTCGTGCTTGCGTATCTTTCTCTGCCAGGCGCGCGCCGCGGCCGCGGGGTCTACGTCCGCGTCCACCTTCTTCTCCAGCTGGTGCAGGCGCGAGGTGGTCTCGGTCAGCATGTCCATGAGCAGTTCTTGCTGCAACTTCAGGTAGTTGTTCTCCTCCAGGAGCACCTGGCTCTTGACCGGCTGCACCGGGGGCTTCCAGGCTGGGCTGGCGGGCGAGGGCAGCGGCGACCGCGCGCGTGCTTGCTGCCCCTCCGTGGTCCAGCGGCCGTCGAGGAACACAAAGGTCTCGTCGCTCAGTCGGGTGCGCGGCGCGCCATAGTTCAGCCCCAGCTCGGCCTGGCGCGTGCGATGGTCCAGCAGGTAGAAGGTGGATATGGATGACGTGCGGCGCAGCGGCGGCCTCCGCGGCGAGAAGCGGCGCGAGAAGTGGTCGGCCCAGAACTGCCGCAACTGCTCCCACAGGTGGCCCGCGTGGCTCGCGGCCAGGCACTCGAAGGCCTCCAGGGCGAAGCGTGGGTGGGCTGCGCGGGGTACGCGGGTGTCCGAAACCCTGCTGTCCTGGAATGATGAATGCCAGCCAGTGGCACTGCTGAGAAGCAAATGGCCGGTGAGCGGCCTGCTCAGGACAGGTTGTCCCCACCACCCAGAGTGTCCGGGGCTCTGCAGTTCCAAACCATTGGGGGAGCTCATTCCTGCATAGTCATACCACCAATGTTCACAAAAACCAACTCCCCCTGGACCCTTCACTTGTGGGTGTGTAAGAGATAATGTAAAGGCCTGGGAACCCCTTTCTCTGGGATGCAGCTGAAAGGGACCACAGGTGGAGATCAGTAGCCGAGTAAGTAGGACAGGCCTTAGCTAAGTGGAATGGGAATGTGATGGAGAGCTGTGAGGCAGTGTGACAAGGCTGTCATGCTCCAGATGTGTGGAAGAGCCTGGGGATAGGACCGGTTCTGAGAATAGCAGTAAAGTAGGCAAGAAAGGTGAGCCAGGGCATCTTGAGGTGCAGTAAAGGCCAGCTGGATTGTTGAGAGGTCACTCTTTAAGGGAGGCTGCTGAAGGTTGCAAAGCCAGAATTAGTATGGATTCCACAGTCTGGTAAGATGTCTGGCGTAACCTCCATCTTTTGCTTTTGTGATATTCTTACACTGGCACCTGCTCCTTTCCAGGTCTGGTCTGCACAGAGGGTACCATCAGCACAACTTTTGTCTGTCCTGGATCTAGCTCTTGTAGCTCAGGCTGGCCTCGAACTCACAGAGATCTACCTGCCTCTGCCTCCCCAGTGCTGGGATTAAAGGAATGCATCACCACTGCCGGGCTTGGAACACGTGTCTTGACCTAGACCTATGCCTAGCTTTAAGGTGGCTGGGATTCTGAAGAGTGGAGTTGAGTTGTTCTAGCAGGCTACTACATCAAGGATTCTAAAGCCCAGATTTCCATTCTATCAGGTCCCATTCTACCTGTTTATCTCTTTTCCCAGAACCTACAAAGTGCTGATTCTACAGTGTGTGTGTTTTTTGTTTATTTGTTTGTTTGTTTTGAGACAGAGTTTCTCTGTGGTTTTGGAGCCTCTCCTGGAACTAGCTCTTGTAGACTAGGCTGGCTTCGAATTCACAGAGATCTGGCTGCCTCTGACTCTTGAGTGCTGGGATTAAAGGCATGCGCCACCACTACCTAGCTGGTGTGTTGTTTTAAATACTTTTCCTGCCCGTGGTGGGAATAAAGAGAAATACAGGCAGGGTTCCCTCTGCCACCCTGCATTAAATCAACACATACTTCTGCATTTCGGCAGAGGCAGGCTGATCCCTGCCCTTATCTAGGTCATGGAGACTGCCTCTGAAAGCCCTCCACATCCATTCTTGAGGTCACAACTCCCCCAGAAGACTGTTCCCTGACATCCCTTGTAAGTTGTTCCTCACCTGTGGATGTGGTGGAGATGCCCACGCTGCTGTCCCAGGCCTGGCCTCATTTCTGAACCACTTCACCCCTCTTGTCTGCCAGCTATGACTCACAATGCCTCCTTGCCAGGCCTCCGAGGGTTGAGATGCAGACAGTCGAACCGAGACAGTGTGCAGTGAAGTGAAGTTGGTGAGCTCTTCCTGTGCTCCAGGCGCTGTTCTAGGAAAGTGAAGGCAGTTTATTAAATAGCACTTCTTTTGTTTAGGTCTTTGTTGTTTTGATTTGGGACCTTTTGACACAGGGTCTTACTCTGTAGCACAAGCTACCTCCAAGGGTAGTGGTGGCGCACGCCTTTAATCCCAGCATTCTGAGAGCAGAAGCAGGAGGATCTCTGAGTTCCAGGCCAGCATGATCTACAGAATGAGTTCAGGGACAGCCAGGGCTGCACAGAGAAACCCTGTCTTGAAAAGCAAAAGAATCTTATTAACGTTCCAGCTGGATTATAGGTATACGCCATCGTGCATAGTTTTTTTATTTTTTTGTTTTGTTTTGTATGTGGGGGTAAGGGAGTCGGCAGGGTGACCTCTGGCCAAAGGTTGACATCCAGCACCTTCCTTGATCACTCTCCACCTTATTTATTTATTTAGTTGTTTTTTTTTTTTTAAAAAGATTTCTTTATTTTATGTATATGAGTGCTCTATCTGCATATATGGCGTTACGCCAGAAGAGGGCATCAGATTCTGCTATAGATAGTTGGGAGCCACCATGTGGTTGCTAGGAATTGAACGCAGGACATCTGGAAAACAGCCAGTGCTCATAACCTCTGAAACATCTCTCCAGCCCCTTAATTAGGTTTTGAAAGACAGGGTTTCTGTATGAGTCCTTTTTGTCCTGGAACTAGCTCTGTAGACCAGGCTGGCTTCAAACTCAAAGAAATTCACTTGCTCCTTCCTCAGAGTGCTAGAATCAAAGGTGTGTACCAATATGCCTGATCTTCAACCTTATTTTTTTTTAATTTGTTTATTATGTGTACAGTGTTCTGTCTGCGTGTATGCCTGCACTCTCCAGAAGAGGGCACCAGATCTCATAACATATGGTTGTGAGCAACTGTGTGGTTGCTGGGAATTGAACTCTGGATCTTGGAAAGAGCAGCAAGAGTACTCTTAACCTCTGAGCCGTCTCTCCAGCCCCTTTCACCGTTTTTTTTTTCTTTTTTCTTTTTTTCCCAGAGACACGGTTTCTCTGTAGCTTTGGGGCCTGTCCTAGCTCTCATAGGCCAGGCTGGCAGCGAACTCACAAGAAGTCCACCTGCCTCTGCCTCCCAAGTACTGGGATTAAAGGCGTGTGTCCGCCACCACCACCTGACTTCACCTTATTTTTTGAGGCAGAGTATCTCACTGAGCCTGGAGCTCACAGCATCAGCTAGGCTAACTGGCCATAAGCTCTAGGGTTCTTCCCTCTCTCCCTCCACTTCTACCAGGGAAGTGTCTTGTGGGAGTTTAATAACACTGAGAGTGAGTGGGCGGGGACTCCCAGAGATGGTGTCTATGAACTAACTGAGTGGGGTGCCACCCAGCCTCTGCCCAGCTCTGGGAATTGTGTGTTGAGTTAGTGAAGCTATGGCAGAGGGATCCAGTTATCACTTCTCTCCCTTCCCCAGGTTCCAGGTAGAAGCTGCTGCGCCCTGCAGATTGTGTGTAGGGGTGCATGGGTGTCAACGTTCAATGTCCTCCCGTCTCTGTACCCCAATTCCACCCAGCACTGGGGTTATATAGCAGGCCGCCACACCCACTTTATTGCATGAAGACTGGTGTTCTCTTCAGGTTCTTGTGCTCATGCGGCAGGCACTTTACCCACGGAGCCTTGTCCCCAACCCTTTACTTGGGTTTTTTGAGACTTGGTCTCGGTTAGCCTAGGTTGGCTCAATCTCCTTGTCCTAAATGATGATCCTCCTGTCCTTAGTGTCCTGAGCAGCTCTGGCCTGTAGGGCTCAGGGCACACAGGTGGCTCATGCCACCATTCTTAGCCAGAGTGTGGAGTGGGAGGTTACCATAAGGTGTCTGAAACTGTTCTGGGGATTGCTCTGGTGAATATGTGGATTGTACTCCAGGAATGTGTGTGTTGCAAGCTTAGTCCTGAGTGTGGCAATGGAACCTTCTGGGGGCAGGAGATTGAGCCCGGGGCCTCCTGCATGGTATTTGTATTAGTCTCCTACTGAGCTGCACCTCCAGCTCCTACTGAAGCCTTTCAAAGGAAAGACCTAGAGCAATGGGATCACTGGGGACACTGCCCCAAGAGGGATCAATGCTGGTTAGTTCTGGTGTACAGAGTGAGCTGGGGCCCCACCCCTCTCTGGGGATCTGTGCCATTCATGGTTGATGGTGTGGCCACTGGTTAAGGTTCCCGTGCTTCTTTTAGCAGCCCTAATGGAATTCATCAGTTTATTTTGTGCTTGCATAGGCTCTCTGTCTCTTCCCGCCACACACACACACACACAGCATGAAAGTTGAAGAGGGCTTAGTTGGAGAAAGGAAAGCAATTACCAATAGCGTTGGGGGAAGAGAGGGTAAGGGAGAAAATACGATCGAAATACACTATGTGCATCTGCAAATAAGTTATAATGAAACCCACTATTATGTATAACTTATACTACTAAAAAGCATTTTTAAAGGACAAGAATGCCAGGCACAGTGGCCCTGTATTCCAACAGTCAGGAGGCTGAGGTCAGAGGATTACTCTGAGTTCGAGGCCAGCCTAGGCTACAGAGTGAGTTCCAGATCAGCCTGGAATAAAGTGAGACTGTCTTTTAAAAATGCAACAACAACAAAAACGGAGTAAGCTTGAAATCAATTTTTCCATGTGATCTCTCCCCTTAAATCCCCATCATGGTGCTGTCTGCCATGTTGTATTACAGCCTCATCAGGGCCAGAATAAATCAGCACCATGCTCTTGAACCTCCCAAACTGTGAGCTCTCTCTGTTTTTTAAATTAATCTTTTTTGCGGCGGGACTTATTTTTATTTATGTGCAAGTGTAGCAGACTTTCCTTTGGGCCACCAACCAGCTCCCAAATAAAGACATAGAAACTTAATGTTAGTTATGAATGCTCAGTCTTAGTTTAGGCTTGGCCCACTAGCTCTTTTTGTTGTTGTTGTTTTGTTTTTTGAGGCAGGGTTTCTCTGTGGCTTTGGAGCCTGTCCTGGAACTTACTCTGTAGACCAGGCTGGCCTTGAATTTACAGGGATTTGCCTGTCTGCCTCCTGAGTGCTGGGATTAAAGGCGTGCACCAACCACTACTGCCTGACCCACTAGCTTTTTAAAAAAAAAAAAAATATTTATTTACTGTGTATACAATATTCTGTCTGCATGTATGCCTGCAGGCCAGAAGAGGGCACCAGACTTCATTACAGATGGTTGGGAGCCAACTGGTTGCTAGGAATTGAACTCAGGACCTTTGGAAGAACAGGCAATGCTCTTAACCGCTGAGCCATCTCTCCGGCCCCCCACTAGCTCTTACAACTTAATTTAACCTGTGTCTATTCATCTATCTGTATTTTGTCTTAGGCTTTTTTACTTTCTTTCATTCTGTATGTCCTACACTGGGTCTGCTGGCTGGCAGCTACCTGGCTGCCTGACCCCAGCTGTCTCCCTTTTTCCCCCTTGTTCTCTTCTCCTACTTTTATTCTCTCTTCCCACCAGCCCCACCTATCCTTCTCCTCCCTAGCTATTGGCCATTCAGCTTTTTGTTAGACCAATCAGGTGCTCTAGGCAGGCAAGATAAAACAGCAACACATCTTTACACCTGCATTAAACAAATGCAGGAGGAACAAATGTAACACATCTATGCCTAGTTAAACAGGTGAAGCATAAACAAATGAAACAGACCTTTACATACATAGGCTCATTCTGCCTATAATTCCAGCTCCAGGAAATCCAATCCCTTCTGGCCTCTGCATTTATAATTTTATAATTAAAAATAGAAATCTTTAAAAATTGCAGGGGTACCTGGTGGTGGGCTGCATAGGTCCTCAATCCTAGCCATTTAGGAGGCGGATCTCTATGTTTGAGGCCAGCCTGGTACAAAGAGAGTTACAGGGCAGACAGAAAAACCCTGTCTCAAAAAATAGTCAATACAGTGGAACCACACAGAGTGACACAACCTTCAGGTGGACTGGGAGTTCAAGGCCAGTCTAGTCTACAAAGCAAATCCCAAGCCAGCCAGGGTTACATAGACACTGTCTGAAAAATCCAAAGTAAATATATAAATGTGGGGCTGGAGAGGAGGCTCAGAAGTTAAGAGCATTGACTGCTCTTCCTGAGGTTCTGAGTTCAATACCCAGCAACCACATTGGTGGCTCACAACCATCTGTAATGAGATCTGGTGCTGTCTTCTGGTGTTCAAAACATGCAGGGTGCCGGGCGGTGGTGGCGCACGCCTTTAATCCCAGCACTCGGGAGGCAGAGGCAGGCGGATCTTTTTGAGTTCGAGACCAGCCTGATCTACAGAGCTAGTTCCAGGACAGGCTCCAAAACCACAGAGAAACCCTGTCTCGAAAAAACTAAAAAAAAAAAAAAAAAAAAAAAAAAAAAAAAACCATGCAGGGTGTATACATAATAAATAAATAAAATCATTAAAAAATAAATGGAAA